GGCGGCGGCAGCAGTGGCGATGGTGGTGGTGTGCGCCGGTGGGCTACTATACTCTAGCCGGTTGCTCGTGGAAAGAGTAGTAGAAGTGGGGAGATTCGTGTCGGTGGAGGAGACGGACCGCGAGCCAGACGAAACCGGCGATATCAACGTTCCCTTGCGCACTCCTGCATACACCTCACACCACACCGGGTGCCGCCGAAAATCCCCAAAAGCACACGAAACAAAGGCCTTCCTCCGCTCTCGCCCTCGCTGCCACCCCCGCGCTGCCACCCCGCCGCTCGTCCTCGCTCACCCCCTCGCGCGATTCTCACTGTAGCCCCGTAACCTGTACCGATACACGCGTGCACACCAGCGTTCTATGTACGAACAGAGACGTAACATCGACTTTTCTCGGTCGAACGTGTTTCGTGCTCTCTCTGCAGGCGCGAGCACGTGCACGTAGCAGCAAGAGGTCCGCTTCGACGAGCCTCGCGAGCCTCTATCGGCCGCGTAGGAACGCGTTGCGCTCCGTGGTAATTGTTTGCTTAAGGTTTTTCGCCGGCTGAAATTAGTTCCGTCACGTGCGTCGCCCTTCTCACCTTTTGTCCCGCCATTCTACCGACCTTCCACACCCCTTTCGTGCAACATTTTACGCCGATCGAGCGCGCCGATTTCTCCTATACGACTCGCGATTTTTCCGCGAACCGCCGTCTCTATAGGTTACGCGTACGTGTGTATACACGTAGAGATGCAATGGTTTGCGCGTAGCGAACGGGATTGATTTTTCTACCCGGTGTCTCGTTCGTTCGTTCGTTCGCGTTCCGCGACAAGAATTTTTATTTCCCGCGGAATCGCAAAAAATTCCGTGGCAAATTTTCGCGTTCGGTCGTTGATCGAGTACCGAATCTGACAGAACAGGACAAGAGGGTGCAAACGTTACACGCGTAATCGCGTAATCGCGCGGTCGATTATCTTCGCGATCCGCCGGCAAGGGTTGCTGTCGTCGCAACGAACGTGGAACGAAATTGGAAAAAGAAAAAAAAAAAAAATATTGGAATCTCTGGTCGCGAGGATCTTCCGTGCTGCCTGGCCGCGGGTTTAACGGCGCGTAAAACGTCCGGTGGAAAGTTGCGACGATCGTTATTTCGCGATTCGAAGCGGCTGGTCTACGGTTATCCGCGGCTTCGTCGGGCCGTAATAATTGGCCGTGCACGAGCTAGGTCGGTCGGTACGTTTTCTTCAAGGTTAGTCGAAAGCCCTGACGCTGCTGAGTGGGTCGGTGAGCTGAAAAATCGATACGTACGAAAGTGAGAGTCTCAGCCGTTTCACCCTCCTTTTTCTTCTTTGCGTTCCGCGTCCTCTTCTTACTTGCCATTTGGTTCATTCATGTTGCGTCGCGCAGTGCCGTGGCTCGTCCAATTTCGCCATTTTTCACCCCCTTGAAATTCGATTAACGCAGTCGCCGATGTATATCCGGTCGGTGGATAAGGGTGCCGCAGAGATATCGGTGAAACGAAGAAGTCGCGAAATTACCACGGGGTGAGCGTAACCCGGCCTCTCCGGTATCGTAATTTCGCCGCGAATTACGCTCGGAGAGAGAGAGAGAGAGAGAAAGAGAAAGAGTTGGTCGAAGGCGCATTTGGTATTTAGATAGGGTACGGTGGAGTTTGTTTTTGAATCGCGATGCCTTTCATGTCGCTCTCTGTCCCCTCCAGAGGGAGAGGATAAATTCGACGGCGAGATGTTAAACGGGAGAAAGAAAGAGAAAATGTCAACAGGGGCATCCGCACATGTGTGGTGGGATCTTTGCCGATGATACTCCGACGAATACGCGTCATCCAGTGCAAATATGGAACATTTTCGTTGATGTATTCCGATAGATTACCTTACCGTTTCTCCTCGCAAATAAATTTCCGACAATTGCCTCCAATTGTTCTTCCCCTGTTTCTTCCCTCTTTGCTTCCTTTTTCTAACGTTATCCTTGGTTATTAACGCGTTAACTCTTCGCGCCACAGGATTTCAGATAATAAAATAGACCCATGTTGCATAGGAATTTGGTTGCGTTTTAAATAAAACAACATTGGTATATTTTTACTAATAAAGGAATCGCATAATGTGAAAACATAAAACCAAAAACTGCTTTATATAAATGAGACGCAATATTAACCTATGCGCATGCAGCTATTGCAAGATTTCGAGGTGGGACTAAAAATATCCCAGCATGCATTACGGTGCATCGAAAAGATGGGACACTTTTAACCCCAGTGTGCCCCAAAGAGTGCCTAGGGACCCCGGCGCTAGACTTTCCTAGGCGTTCAAACCTCGCCGGTCCCTACGGCCTGGAAGGGCCCATATGACAGCTAACTGTGGCGTTTAACGTGATAAACGGTTTTCAATTCGACTCCATGCAGTGCAATTTTCACTGCGAATTCTTTCGCAATAATTTTCGTTGCGATCACCTGCGAAATCCCCCCCACCGCGATGGGTTATTATTTTCAACGCGATCCGATTCCCCAAATTTCCTCGAATTACATCGCGTCGAAATCGTTAGGATGAAATTCGTGTTATTTGCAAATTCGTAAAAATTATCTGGTGTAAAGCGAGAAGAACGACTTTACTCGCAATTTCGATACGCAATCGTGTATATACCACTGTACCCGCTCGCTCGTGTGCTTTTTCCTCATCGACTTGCTTTTTCTTGAGCTGGCGCCGTCCTCTGACGATCTGGAGCCGATACCGAGAAATTCTTGACCCACATCCCGCGTGATACGTTCTGCGTGACCCACGCTGTATATTTATCCCGATAAATTGCCCCGGTTTAATTATTTCCTTCGTCCCGGATACGAAGGTGACAGTTTAATTCTAACCATTGATTTATCGTTCCTCGTTTTTCAACGTGCTATTAATCCGTAAACTAGACCGTTTCCTAATTGAAAACGCTGTTCGCGCGCGGTTAATCGCTGGTTCGTTTACGCGCTAATTTTCGTACGATCGTAGTACTGCTACGTACGCGCCATTTTTCCTGTCTTCCGCGAAGAAATTAAGCTGTCGTAAATTCGAACTTTGCTGATCGAATGGAGCAAATTTCTTTTCAATTTCGAGTTCGTCGAAGGTTTTGATCCAAAGTCCCAAAGTGTACAGGTTAGGATTCGATTACTGGAAGCACTGTGTCTGGGAAGAGATGTATCTCGACCAATGGATAATAGCGCTAAGTGATAGCAAACTAACTTTGCTTAATCACACACGCTCCGTTTCGCGTCGTGTCGTCGAGGAAAATTCAGTTTGCGCGAAATTCCTGTTGAAAATTACGACTTCGCGTGAACCGTGCTACGCTAATATTGTCCAGTGACATATAACCGGTGAATGGAAAAGAAGCAGGAGCTTTGAAAAATGGAATAATGGGGGACATTGAGAAAATGATTATACGAATTGTTGCAAATAAGATACGCCTGATAGGGCCGAGGGACTCATAAATGTGTACCACCACGTAAGCACGTTGCTATAGCAGAGAAACGCATATATGCGGCCCTAGGACCTCGCGTCCCAAGTCGAGGACTGTTTCATGTCCTTATTAGCAGCGTTGTTATGAACGAAAATCGTGATTAACACTAGATTTACGGAACCCGTGAATTTGACGGAAGGGTTGCTGCAATTATACGATGGTAACAGATTTAGTTAACTTATATCAAGACTGTTAATATAATATATAATTGTTTTTAAGTTAAACTAATCGTTAAAAAGAAGGCACGTGGTTTCCTTTACCTGTCAATTTGACAGGTGTCTTTAGAAATAGGTATACAGATAGCGTCCGTAAACCTAGTGTTAAGCAGAAACGAGTGCTGGTAGTTTTGAATGACTATCGCATCAGCGACTGGACCCACGGTACGATTTACTCAAAACCGCTTCGTCCGCAAAGGGTTAACTGATTATTTACAAAAATCAATCTCTTAGGAGAAATAGATGTGTCTTTGAATTATCCGTCGAAGAGGTTCCGGGAACACGTGAAACTTCACGCAGTGGATAAGAATTCGGGGACCACGATGAGATGCAATTGCATAATACCCTTTTACATCGCTCTAGTTTTGTCTCCCCATGCGTACAGTTAGTATGGAGAATATATACCTTCTTAAGAATAGAATAAAGGTAATATGGGGGGTCCTCCCCCACTGTTGTTGAATGCCGGCTGGTGGGTGGTATCCTTGTGTGGCGGGGTGCTAGGAGGGACGAAGGGAGAAGGGAGGGATGCGTTTCGTGTCCTGGACCTTCTAGTGGACTCATCGGTTAGGCTACCTAAGCAGGCCCCACCTTAGACGGACGGGGGGTACTTAGATGGGAACTTGGGGGGGAACTTCTATTTAAGGGAAGTGGAGGATTCACCGCCGTACCTCCTTCAAGTAAGAATCCATCTACCAGCGAGGGTGAGAATGATGGTCACTACAATCTGTACCATTTTTATTTTTTTATTTTTTTTACCATATTGTTTGATAATTCGTTATTATACTATTATTATATTATATATAGGAAAGTGATGGTTTTTATAAAAACTTGCGAGAAAGTCCTCGAACCTCCTTAAAGTTGGAATCCATCTAATGGCAAGGGTGAGAATGATGGTCGCTGAATAATTACAAAGAACGATAGTTATTTCTTTTTGCCCATAATCCCAATATTCTGCGACTCCAGCGATCGGAATTGGTCGACTTCGAGAAATCGAATTATCGTTTATGCGTGTGATCGAGCCGCAAGAAAGTAATCGTGTTCGATTCTGTATGGGTCGGTGAAGACCCGTTTAAAACTTTCGCGTAATTATTTACAGCCGATTAACCGAGCTGCATGAGAATGAGCCGATAAAACTGTATTAATCCTCGTCGTCTCGTTACAAATGCAAATACGATGATATATCGTTAATATAAACATAACGGCGCGTTAAAAAACCGGAGAATCCCGGTGCAATAAATTATAGTCTTCGGAAACTATCCGAACGACGTATCTTTATTCTTGCAGCCTTAACTAGCCGGCAGTGATTTATTTCGTTTGACCTTTCCACGAAGCTTCGAAGCCGGCATGACGTTTATGCTAATTCGAAATTTTGAATTTTGTTACAGTGGTGCCGGGTCAAAAGTCATCGTAAGTTTCCCAGCTCAGGCCAGATTAGAGGACATCGAAGCTCTGTTCTCGAGCTGCGGTCAAGTGCTGGTCGTGGAGAAGTTGTCCTCGCGCGATCCTAACACACAAACCGTCCTCATCACCTATGACACGCAAGAACAAGCACAGCAGTAAGTTACGTCTTTGTTTCGCCAAGATCGAGTGCCAACTTTCGCGTGCAGATCGTTTCGTTTGGATTAGGTCAGCTTTGATAGCGATCCTCTCGCCTCTCTTTGTTAACATTTCCCGAGAGCATGAAACTGACCGTTCCGTTGCCTGGCGGACATCTTGTTCGATCGAGGACGCGGATACTCCAATTCTGTCCCGAATTCTATCGTTGTAAATGTAAACGCGGTGTAAACTGTGATGACGCAAGTTATGTCGGGTATAATGTATTTCGAAGGAAAGAAATACTAGGCGAAAATTGCACGTTTTGAAAACGTCTTACGACATTCCTGCATCGAAAGGAACACTAAACGTTTCGATATTATTTCGATTTCGATTTCGATTTCGATTTCGATTTCGATTTCGGTTTCGAGCGTTAACCACTTGCGCTACGATTTAACTTTCGGTTGCCATGTCGCGCTCTACGATATAACATGCGGTAAGGCGTTACATTGACGTGGTGTACACGTCGCTGGCGGCTTTGGAACGAAAGCATCTCAACGTGCGTGGCACGTCTTTATAGCGCGAGTGGTTAAAACGCGTTTAGTCGAAGTAACACAGCGATCGTGTCGAATTCCAAGTATTTTCATCTCTCGTACAACTTACGTAAACAACGCGACACAGAGTGCCTTTATTCGTCCACCGAATATTCCTACTTTGACGTTCCATAGTGGGTGGCTGAATGCGTAATAATTTCTCATTGAAATTATAAAAGAAGAAGACGACGTGTTCGAGGCGGTTATTTTCATTGGTCTGCGCACGTAGGAATGGCGGTTCTCGAGTTTCCGTTTGAATTACCGTTGATAATCGTTTTGATCTTGCTTGCAGGGCTGTGAACCAGTTTAATGGCCACGACTACGAGGGTACCCCGCTAAAAGTGGAAATGTCTACGGTGGAGAACCGACGAAGAGGCCGCAGCCAGCGCAGCGGCGTCGCTTATTCCGCGGGTGCGAGTTGCGTACGGCAGGCAGACTTCCCGCTTCGTATTCTTGTACAATCGGAGATGGTAGGAGCCATAATCGGTCGTCAGGGCTCTACCATACGTCAGATTACTCAGATGACGCGCGCGCGGGTCGATGTTCACCGAAAGGACAGCGTTGGCGCTGCTGAGAAAGCCATCACTATCTATGGTAATCCGGAGAACTGCACGAATGCCTGCAAGAAGATCATGGACGTCACGCAGCAGGAGTCTCACGGTTTAAGTAAAGGGTAAGGAGCTCAAAATCCAGAATCAAAAACTGTACATTTCCAATGCAACCGAGTACAGGGATCTGTACATACCGTATATTCTACAAGGGATATAAGGAATATAAGGAACAGTTCGAATTCGAGATGTTCGACCCTAGATTTCGAATGATATCGAATAAGAAGCTCAAAATCCAGAATCAAAAACTGTAGATTTCGAATGCAACCGAGTACAGGATCTGTACATACCGTATATTCTACAAGAGATATAAAGGATATAGGGGATAGCTCGAATTCGAGATGTTCGACCATAGATTTCGAATGATATCGAATAAGAAGCTCAAAATCCAGAATCAAAAACTGTAGATTTCAAATGCAATCGAGTACAGAGTCTGTACATACCATATAATCTATAAGGAATAGCTCGAATTCGAGATGTTCAACCATAGATTTCGAATGATATTGAATGATACAATTGGGATACAAGGAATAGCTCGAATTCGAGATGTTCGACCATAGATTTCGAATGATATCGAATAAGAAGCTCAAAATCCAGAATCAAAAACTGTAGATTTCGAATGCAACCGAGTACAGGATCTGTACATACCGTATATCCTATAAGGGATATAAGGGATACAAGGGATAGCTCAAATTCGAGATGCTCGACCATAGATTTCGAGTGATATTGAATGATACGGACGAGATATAAGGAACAGCTCGAATTCGAGATATTCGACCACCTGTACTAGCAAGTTCCATAGCGCCGTGTCTAGATGTAAATTAATAGCGCGTTGTTCCATGTGTTAACAGCGACATCTCATTGAGGATTCTTGCACACAACAATTTGATTGGCCGAATCATCGGGAAAGGCGGCACCACCATCAAGAAAATTATGCAAGATACAGACACGAAGATCACCGTAAGCAGTATCAACGATATCAACAACTTCAATCTCGAGCGTATCATTACGGTTAAAGGCACCATCGATAACATGAGCAAAGCAGAATCTATGATCTCCAGCAAATTACGCCAAAGCTATGAAAACGACTTGCAGGCGATGGCTGTAAGTGTGAAGTCATTGCGATCAAATGCGACTTATTAACACGTTGACCACTGGGTATTTCGTCTCCATTCTTTTACGTAGGACCGGGCATGTAATAAAATATATTACCTCTCAGTAAAACGAGCTAAATTTATATCCTGCATTGAACGTTGGTGGATAGTATTTTTCTTATATTACAACAAAATGCTTACCAAAACGAAAATCTCCGTGATCGATCGTCAACGTGTTAATGAAATTTATCTTTTTTTAATCGAAATTTCGACTACAGTATTCGGAGTACAAGTACTATGTACAGGTCTGTTTGAAAAGTATGGAACGTAGCGTTATCTTATATGTATATATATTTATATATTATATTTATTATTATTTATTATATATATATACGCTATCGTTTCAAGATATCGCGTGTACTGTAAATTGCTGTATTTTGTTATAAATATCCGTGTAATAACGAAATCATCGCGTTACAGCCTCAAAGCTTGATGTTCCCTGGCTTGCATCCAATGGCTATGATGTCCACTGCTGGTATGGGATACAGCGCACGTGGTCCCGGTTTGTATGGCTCCGGACCTGCCCCATATCCCTATCAAACTAGCTTGCCGACTCAACAGGGTATTCCACACGGCGACATACAAGAAACAGCGTTCCTTTACATTCCGAATACCAGCGTAGGTGCCATTATAGGAAGCAAGGGTTCCCACATCAGAAACATTATCAGATTCTCAAGTGCCAATATTAAAATCGCGCCAATCGAACAGGACAAACCAGTAGAACAGCAGAATGACAGGAAAGTGACTATCGTAGGGTCACCAGAATCACAGTGGAAGGTAAATCCTACGCATGCCATAGTAAATTTGTATATATATATATATATAGAGAGAGAGAGAGAATTAATTTTACACGAGTTAAAATCCAACTATTAGTTCTAAAAATCGAGGATTGTTTAAACAATAAAAGATTGTACGTTTCACGAGGATAGAATTTTAGAAACGAAAAGCTTAGCGAGATACCGTAAGTAAAGTTCGAAGCGTGAATTAGATACGATTGCGAATGAAAGTTTAACCGAGAAATTGTAGCCACTTCATGGCGTAGCGACCAAAATGCTTGGTTTCAAACACCGAGGTTCCATGTTCGAATCTCGGTGTCTGCTCTCTCTCTCTCTATCTCTATGTCCAAGTTTTTTCATTTGTTATCATCAACGAATGCGAAGAAAAGCAGACGTTTTAACCTGCTTTTACATTTGGGAAGGTGCCGTCTCCTAAGCATCGTCTTGAAATAAGCAGGAAAATTAAACACGAAGGGTTCCCGTACCAATGGCACGTTATACGATTCGTCCATAGTTGGTCCCAAGTCCCGCCTTCGACAATTTTCTTCTTTTTTTTCTCTTTTTTTTTTGCGTCTAAACGAATGATTATTTGCACGATTTTCTATAACAATGGCGTAATACCGTTAACTGGGTTTCAGGCTCAATACTTAATCTTCGACAAAATGCGCGAGGAAGGATTCGTGGCTGGCACAGAGGACGTACGATTAACAGTCGAGATTCTCGTGCCGAGCACTCAAGTTGGCCGAATCATTGGCAAAGGTGGGCAGAACGTTAGAGAATTACAACGTGTAACTGGAAGTATCATAAAGCTCTCGGAGCAACAATCTACATCTCCTTCTGCCGACGAAGAAGCCACCGTCCAAATAATTGGTCCCTTCTTCTCTGTTCAGGTAGCACGTGTTTCCATCGAAAAATTGTTCATCTATCGGGAATAGGAAACAAGCGACAAAAATGAGATACGTAGATATTAATTTCCGATCGTTTTCTCGTTCGTAGTCGGCACAGAGAAGAATTCGCGCCATGGTTCTTCAATCGTCTGGTGCACCTGGAGCAGGTGTTGCTGGCTCACGCGCTGGTCGTGGTAGCAGCCAAGAAGGTGGTTCTCGTTCTCGAAGAGACGGCAGTGCTACGTCTCAACAGGGTGGTACAGCGACGCAACAATCGAGCACTTCGCCCTCCAGCCAGCAGCAACCACAAAATCAGTAACGTCACTGAAACTTACCTGACGCCGACCAACGCCTCACAGAATCCGTTTTAATCGCCGGGGTGGCCTCGTCGCTTTGACATTCTCTCGTCAAGAGGCTACGTGCGACCTCCTTCTCGCGGGCTATGTATCCTTCGGTGTGCGCCATATGGGAGGGCACATCGCGAAAGCTATCAGTACAAAAATATGTCACACGCAATAGGATCCGATAATTTTCAAAATCCACGCATATAGATTTGATTCCGAATGGTAAGAGGGGATACGATCGATGGCCTTACTTTTATCGTTTTTTTTTTTCCTTTTTCTTTTTCTTTTCTCTTCCCTTTTGCTATCGTAGTTGGTGCACGCGAGTTTATCGTTTACCGTGAGTATTTTGTCGCGATTTTTCGAGAACGTAAAAGCTGTAAGGCATCATTTGTTTTTAGATAGATTTTTGCAGAAAATCAGCCGATAAATTATATCATGGTTGCCATTGATCGTAACGCTTCGCTTACATCGGGTTTAACAATGAGCTTCGCAGGTCAGGATACACAGCTCTGAGGTATTAAAAGCGATGCAGAGTACCGCGTGGAATCAGACGGAAGTACACGTCAGCTAACGATAAACGCATCATGCGAGACGAGGTGAGACGAAAAATTCGGTTCCTGCCCATTTGTGAAGCGGGGATAAGTTATAATCGATTCTTCCGTCGAAGAGATACACAAATCGTTTTGCTCACTTCTTCTGCGCGCGTTGTGTGACACACACGTTTCGTCGAGTTCGCTTAATTCGGAAGTTAAAGCGACGGGTGACACTCGAACGAATCGATTTCGCAGCGTTAACGAAACCACCTCGTCGATGAAATAGGATACGATGATAAGAAAAAAAAAAAAAAAATAAGCATACACAACCTTATTACCTCATTCATTACGGTTAAAGATTTAATATGATAATGAAAAGTGAAACGAGAGAAAGGATAAAAACCAACTAATCTAAAAAAAGAAGTCTACCTAATATTAAAGTTATAATAATATACAGAGAAGTTAAGTAACGATTACACAATTACGTTATACATGTTACTACTACAACTACTATTATTACTACTACTACTATTACTACTGCTATTAACTACTACTTACTTCTACTAAGTACTCTATACAGGAAAGCGGTTTTTTTTTCTTTTTTTTTTATATATTATATATATATATATAAAGAAAAGAAAAGGGCTACTCTAGGTAACAGTTTTTTTATATCACAACGCAGAGAGACATTAATTAACGAGACTTAATTATTGAAAAAATGTGAATGATATGTGACACGTTCTACAATTAGACGTAAGCCGGCAAGTTTTCAAGGCAGACGCCCCTCATCCCCCACCCCTCTCGCGCCTATAATACCAAAGAAGCGATTATGAGTTTTTTCGTATTAGTGAAGTGAAAATGCGTGACACACATATAGTCGTGTCGAACGCTCTACTCGCCTCAAGTTCCTTGCAAGAGCCAAGAAGAACGAGAGGGGTGACAGACACACCAGAGACAGAGTCGCGTCTGCGGGGAATCGACGAGTGGTTATTGACGTCGGAAACAGCAAATGGAAGGACACTGACGAAAACAACATCTTTCGTTATCGAGTCGCTTTTTGCAAAAAAGTGATTTGAGAGAGAAGAATCATAAATCAGAGACGCTCAGGGAGGGAGGGAGAGAAAGATAGACAGAGAGAGAGAGGGAGAGAGAGGGAGAGAGAGAAATGGAAAAGGAAAGAGATAAGAGCGAATACCGAGAAAACGTTTGATGTTGTACATGAAACGGAGGCTGTTTCGTGGTACGAGAAGGATGTTCCACAAAGAGAGAAAGAGAGAATGAAAAAGCGACCGTTGGTACGGACGAGAAAGCGAGAAAAACCGTGAGCAAAGAGGGGACAAGAGTTGTAAGAAGTTTAAGAGGAAAAAAGGAAAAGAGGGCGAAGAGATAAGAAAGCAAAGAGCCACAAAACTTTTTCAGGGATTTTTACTTTACCATGAGTGTAATGATGTGTGAGTGTGTGTGTGCTGAGTAAAAGTGTTAATTGATAAGTAATTAATTACTGACTAAGCATACACGCAAAGCGCTGCACACAAGGTAGAAATTTAGGATAATCGAGATGAGAAGGAACGTTAGGAGAGTAGGCGAAAATCAGGTGCCGGAGGTTGGAAGAGCGACATTTGACGAAAGAGAGAGTGAGGGAGAGAGAAAAAGGGGCATCGTAATTACTATTTCATGTCGCTCTTCGCCTCGTGGATATCGCCAGCGAGTTGCCGATAAATAACGATCGAACGTGCGCGAATTTTACGATACTCCGTCTCTCGACGATCTTTGTAAATTCTGTAATTTTTTCCCCCCCTCTCTACTTTTTCTTTTTTTTTTTTCCTGTTTTTGTTTCTCTCTCGTTTTAATCATAGGATATATATAGTCGTAATACAATTAGGATAGCGAATGTTATATGAACGCGTTACGAATTCGTTCGTAGCAACTCGCAGCGATATCGCGTCTCCGGCGTAGCGCGTGTACTATCGATCACGAAAAATCCAATGACTTCCTTTTTTATTTTTTTTTTTATTTTATTTCTTTTTTCGCGACGGTGAATTGACCTTTCGGATATTATTAAAGAACCAATAAAACATGGTCGGAGTGAAATTCAGATTTTTCGCGTTTTCGATATGAAGAGAAAAAACGAGAGGCGGGGGCGTAGAGGTGTGGTACACGTCCGCCTCGATCGAGGAATATTCGTGATCGATCGCGCGTGTTTCGAAACCCTTAAGTTCTGATTTATGAAGGCTAAAGAACATAAAAAAGAATGGAGTCTAAAATGTTGGTGGATAAAATACGGTAGTTCGCACGTGCAACGTACGGGCGGGAAGCGTTTTCGCTCGAAACGGGAAAGATCGATCGCGTAAGAGATTTCAAAGGTGAAACGTATTAGAAAGACGGGTAAAGAAGGTATTACGAGGATAAGGCGAGAGAAACGCGCATGGTTCGGGGCTATTTAGGATGGCGAAGCGAATTCGCGCTATTTATCGAAAGAGGACTCTTGAGAAACTGATCGAACGGGCCTAGCTCCGTTTCGGTGATCTATAAACGTGACCAAAAAGAAGTGATAAATTAACGGACTGACGAGACGACGCATGATCATGTGCCACGAAAGATGTTCACGAAATCTTTAGAACTTCTTCGCTTCGAAGCTCGATTTTACTTATTTTATAGGATCTCTGCTATCGTTGAATATTTTTAAGTTTCTCCTATTCGATGATTCCGAATCTGGCTAACGGTAGAGACGGGAAATTATCTCATGCGAAGGCTTTTTGTTTTTTGTTTTTTTTTTTTTTTTTTTTTTTTTTTTGGGGGAGGATGACGAAGGGATAAATTATTCTTTTCTCGAGATCTCGTGGCACGTCATCGATGCTCAATTAGCACGTGGAACCCCGTGTCCGGGGTTCGCGTTCAGCGACGAAAGCGACAGTCCCTTCCGGTTCACAGGATTGATCGGAGGAGACGGGGTCGTCGACCGTCGGTTCACCTCACGGCGTTCGGTATGCGTTTAGTACAAAAATACACGAGTTTAAAGTGGGTAGAGGAAGGAATCGAATTTTACGAAAGGGAAAAACGTGTAGGTTGAATGGAAGGGAAATGATGTATCGCGTGTTAGGGTTTTTCTTTTATCGAGTGGAGAACAAAAAACGCGTAACGAAGGAACGAACTTCTGTTGAGTGTGCGCACGAATATCATCGGTGGGTAATGGAAAATTGGACGATGAAGAAAGGTATGCAGGGGAAAACAAAGAGACGAACGGACGGTGCAACCTCGCGATGCGCCAGTGCTCCGCTCTCTTGCCTTTTTCTTTTTCGCTGCATCTCGAGGAGACAAGTACCGGAAAGATTAAAAGAGGAGAGAGCAAAGGAAAAAGGAGAAATAGACATAGCAATGGGAAAAAGGGCGAGAGAGAGAGAGAGTGAGAGCGAAGGAGAGAGGGGGGTTGGAAAGGAAAAGTTGTAACGAAGGAAGTGAAATCGACCGAAGACAGAAGGAAAGAGTAACGCCGGATTTGTATGGAAAAAAGGAAACGAAGACAGATGTAGAAAGGGAAGAACTACGCGCGAGAGAAAGAGAGAGAGAGAGAGAGAGAGAGAGAGAATGTAAAAAGGGAGAGAAGAAAAAAAAACGGAGGGAGAAATAACGTGAGAAAGAGAAAATGAATCTAAGAGTAATAAGTTTATTTTTGATACATTGTTGGGGAGATCTAAGTGAATCTTTCTTTTTCAATTTTTTTGTTAGATGTTTTTAATAACTTAATGAATTTTAACGATATTAATAAAAAAAAAAAAAAAAAAATGCGCGCGGCGTGAGGAGAGAAGGCGAAGACATTTTTTAAATAGAATTATAAGGAGATATAAGAGAAAGGTGGAGTAAGAAGAGAAGGAGCGAAGCGGAGTGTTTTTCGTAAAAGAGTATGTAACTTAAAGAGTTAAAAAAAATGAGAGAGAGAGAGGGGGGAGAGAGAGAGGAAAGAGGAAGTAAGATAAAGGTAAAATAAAAATAAAATAAAATAAAATAAAAAAAAAGAAAGAAGTGATGAAAGATTTAAAAGGGCACGGCGCGCAGCTTTTTGCGCTGTGCGCGTCTGTCGCTCGTCAGGGGGGATAAAGGAGATTTTAGTCGGATAAATTGTATAATATATTTAATATATTTGGAGGAAACGGCGGCGCCAGGTCCGCTCGGCGAGCAAACGTTACTTCGATGGCGAGCGACAAAGGCGATCGGGCTCGCAGTTTTATGTGACGCGATTTTCCTCGTTGTCGCTTCCCGGAAAGCCTTTCTCGCCCGCAGGCCTTCGCTTCCGTACTTATTTATCAAGCGTAAATATTTAAAGAGACAAGAGTGAAAATAACATTTTGTAAAAAAAAACGAGGAGTAAAACGAAGAAGAAAAAATAAAGGAACGCAAAGAAAAACGATGAAAGTGCCAAGGAACTAAAAAAGAAAAGAAGAAAAAGAAGAAAGAGAGCAAAAGAAAGGATATTGAAACCAACATATGCACAGTAATAGAAACAGCCCGGACACCGTTACACAGTTATAGAAACAGTTTGTAAACAGATCACAGGTCGTAAACGTAAATCCACGAGACAAAGCAATAGGATAAACGGAAGATGCAACGCACAACAAGAACAGTACCGAGAGAGAGGGAGAAAGAGAAAGAAGAAATAGGAAATTAAAGGGAAAAGAAAATTATCCGACAGAGTTTCTTACAATCGATC